TCATTATAGCTCCCAATTTTTTAACTTATTTTTGATGGAATCAGTTTAATCAACTAGCTAACTAGGCCAACTAGAACTAACTAAACTAAACATTCCTATTTTAAATCACTGAGTGTTGGTGCTTTATATACAAGTTTTTAGTAGCTTTATTCATAATGAATTCTCCAGAGAAGGTTTATTTTATTCACTTGAAAAAAGTTGTTGGTTTTTTGAGACAAGGTCTTGCTATGTAGACCGTGCTGCTATCACTGATGTTTCACAAACGATTGTCTTTCAATTTGAAAACCAATGTAAGAAATTAAAATCTCTCTGAAGGAGACAGACAAACCAGGCAAAAGCTCATATTTTCTTAAAATTTTAAAGAGTGAAAATACTTATTCCTTTTTAAAAAGCTTATAAGGTCATTGTAGAGGTCAACATGCTATGTAGGAAGAAGGGAACTGGCCCTCTCCTAATTTGGTGGAAGCAAATCTTGATTGGCATTTGCTTCTAAAATCAACTCGTGCATCTGCTCTCTCACGAGCACCCCATCACCAATACCGCAACTATGATTTCTGTTTCAGCAATGCAGAGAGAGAACTGGAAGCAATCATTGAAAAGCAGAGGTGATGGCCCAGCACAACCACCCCGGGTTGGGACCTCCAGAAGACTACCGACGATGCTGAGCACCCAGAGGTGGTACAGAATGACTTCTCCATTTCTTATTTTTACTAATACAAAATTTAAATCCAAGTTAAAATCAGTTACTTGCCACACTTTTCAGACCTCAGTGAGTTATTTCTTGATGTCAGGCTCCAAAGTCACGCTGACACCAAGAGAACACGGGAGCACTGTTCTTTACCTGGCTACCAATGGTGTGGGCTCTTTCTTTTAAAAACTACGTATTATACACAACAATGAAACAGAGTATTAGTTTCATATTCCCAAATAATTTTTTAAGATAAAATTATACTTAACACTCAGTGTGACCGGCACTCAGTATTCCCTTGAGAACATAGCTATAGCCACATACGCTCAATTTAACATCACTAACAAGCTCTAAGAGTGGGTGAACGTATAACATATGAATAGAAGCATAAAGTTTAACATGTAGTTTCTTTTAAATCACAAGTTTGAGAATGCGGAAACAGAGCATCCACACACAAGAAAGAACTGTTGCAAACAGCATTTACACCTGGCACCTTGCTTTCACTAACAGCTTTCATCTTATTTAGTGCTTGTTCCTGCTGAATCTGCAAAATGCCTTCAAGGAAAGAACATGTCAAAAAAACTACATGGAGATGCAAGAACAGTGGCCTCCTGGGACTTCTCAGGCCTAGCAAGCGCAGTGTGCAATGACGGTTGTGCTGTGAGGCCGTTGTGATACTCAGCAGTGTTCAGAAATTCAGTTTTTAAAACACTGATCTCATGTTCAAAACCCAACTATTAAACAGATAGGCACCTGTTTGTTTTGCTTTGTTAACTCTATGATGAGCTTACTTTAATGGAGGTCTTCTACCAACTAATTTTACATATCTAGAAATTAACATCAAAAGCAGGAAGCTAAGATCCCTGAATGTCAAACAGCTGACTCAGGAGCACCAGACACTGACCTCCCTCTTCCATTCCAGCAGCTAACTTGAACTAACTCCGAGAGAACTTGAGTTAACTTCCAGGTGTCTGTGTCTCAGATTCAACAGCAAAACCAGCAGGAAACTAACAGTCCAGGCAAACGCTAAGCTGCATTCGTAATTACGGGGAGCGGCACACTGGCAAAAGGATACTGAAAACCATGAAATGCAGCTGACACAGTACCAGCTACTGGGGAGAGTGAGGCAGGAGGATCACTTCAACCCAGGAGTTCAAGATCAGCCCGGGCAACATAATGAGATCACAAACAACAGCAAAAAAAGACTAAAAAGTATTACCTCTGACCAGGTAATGGGTGTTTTAAAATTGCAAAGGAATTAATTTGGTAAAAAAATATATATATTCTGTAGCCCTTATCTTAAAAGGTACCAGAATAAAATTTTTACTTCCCTCTCACAAAACATGTAAGTTTTACTTTAAAATTACTAAGGTTCGCCTATACATTTTAGGTTGGAAGTCTGGCCTAACTTCTAGTGTCTACTCAGCTCTCTAGGGAGGACAAATGTGGCCACACTAGTTTTGTCTACAGATAGCTATCAACGCATTTTGCATTTTTAAAAAGGGTTCTAAGGAAGAAAGACACATGCCACAGACACCGGCTCTGCACTCAAGGTCCAAATACTTACTATCTGGCCCTTTACAGAGAAAGCCTGCACCCTGAATCACATCTATAAGAACTTCTAACTGAACCCTCAGTTCCCATCGGTCTACATAAAATGCTTTTTGCTGTCTATGTTTCAGGCTCATGAACAAGACCAAAAATTAGGACATAAAATAAGCTGCTGATAAAATACCACAAGGATATGCAGATTTATTTTATTCAAATAACAAATGAACCAAATAACACATGAACCAAATAACACATGAATAGCAAATAAAACACTTGCAAAAGGGAGAGCTTCAAACTTTCACAAGAACTGGAGATGGAAAATCTATTAAAGTATACCTATTTTATATTACAATCTCTAAAATAATTTTGACTAGCTCTTCAGAATCTCCCAAAAGTGTGAAAAACAAACTTTTCAAGCAAACTGATTTCTAAACAAATCAGTAAGTCTGCTTAAAAAAAAAAAAACCGGAAGAGAAATATCAAAGTTATAGTTTAGCAAGATATGTTTCTTTAAAATAGGGCATGAATACACTGTGAAGTTCTTTAATGTTGTATCCCTGTATATATTAATTAGATCATCCACGTTTCTACAAAGCAAATTTAAATTAATCATACCTTCAAAAAACTAACAAAATAACCAAGGTCACAGAACAGTACAAAACCTAAGCATTGCTGGGTGCCAGTGGTTCATGCTTGTAATCCTAGATACTTAAGAGGCAAAGATTAGGCAGAGGCTCGCAATTCGAAGCCAGCCTGAGCAAACAGAGACCCTATCTTGAAAAAAACCCATCACGAAAAAGGGCTGGTGGAGTGGTTCAAGTGATAAAGAGTGCATGCGTAGCAAGCGCGAGGTCCTGAGTTCAAATTCTGTACCGCCAAAAAAAACCCTCAACCTCAACGTACACTTTCCAAGGCAGCCATATGGTTTTCTGATCAGTTATGGACTCTGCAGCATTACAGCAGCAAAGTAACCACGAAGGTAAACAGTATTCTGATGGAGCACCACAGGAAAGGAAAGGAGGGCAGCTCTCTGGACTCAGCACTGAGAGGTCACAGTGGTCCACCCGTGGTCCATGTGGACCTGTGCCAGCCAGCACCCTTGGGAGTACCACTACTGACCAGAGTCTGCTTGCAACAGCCCATTCACCTGGAGTTCTGAGAAGCTTCTGTCCTGCAACCTTGGGGGCTTTGTTTTTTGTGAAGTGTTTACTAAAATGTTTACTAATCTAAAACACATCTTTTAAGTTATAGATAATACAAGTATAAAAATGCTAATGGTGGAATCTAGGTAGTAGGTTTGCAAATGTTTTCAATAAAATTCTTTCAGTTTTGTAATTGTATTTTTTCCTAAGAAAATAATCATAAATATTATAATCATGCCTTCTGAGTGCTTTCTTTCCTGAGGAAACCAAGGAGACTGGTCCAAGAAGACCAGTAAAAAGAAGATAAAACTGCAGCTCTTCCTAGTGTCTGAGAATCTGGAAACAGATCTGAATGAAATCTGAGTTCCTCTGCAGTAAGCAAAGGTATGTCACCAAATCTCCTTTAACTGGTAAGTCGGGGTGAATGAATCTCCATGAAGAGACAGGTGCATAATGGTCAACTACAGAAATTCACTTTTTAATCCCAAACTGAAGACTTAAAACAGAATTCATGGTTTTCTTTTAATATGCACTAAATTTGTACAACCCAGAAGAGGTGGCTATGATTGGCAGAGAAGTGAGACATAGACACAAGGTGAACAATTTTTACATATTTACCAGTTTACAAAACTCAACATAACTAGAATGACTGCTCTGTATATTTAACCATAGAATGAGAAGTTCCTCAACTTTAACTCTTAGCATCACTGTAGCTACATTTTACAAAATCTTAGGTATGAATAACTAGAAAAAGCTCACAATAAACTGATGAAATATAAATTGACCAACTGCTCAATGTGTTAAGAGGTGTACTCCATCACATCTTTACTCCTTTCTAGATTGTTTCCTGTATGCTGAACTCTTTATTTCATATTGATAAATGATCAACTGATATTACTTTATTTTATACAGAAGTCATTTTTAAAATGAAGATGAATTCTGAAAGAAAGTTCAGGAGGTGGTATGCCTGTGGTCAAAACAATGCAGTAAAGGAGCCCCTGAGAGTCTGTGTACTGCCTAAGTGCCCAAGCATAATGAGGACTTTCTCCAGATAGAAATAGGCCCCAATATTCCACCAAAGTACAATTCTTCACATGTGATAGCGTTAACCTAAAACATGCAGTTTCTAAGATAGGAATCTCAAAATTGTGCTGCTTCCCTTTGTAAATGAAAAAAATTCCCCATTTCTTGAGTCCTAAATGTAAGAGGTGCTAAAAGCTGAAGATCGGTGATCCCAACACCCAAGAGTTCAAGGCCAGCCTGGCTACACGGTAAGGCCCTGTCTCAACCACCCTGCCCCCACAAGAGAAAGCCAGGCCAAAAGCAGTTTCACACACACTGCATTAACAAGCACTGTGCTGTCAAGAACAGAACACTGCCAAATAAACACTGCCTTATTTCCTGTTTTAGTATAATGGAAAGAAAAACTGACAAATCACATTAAATGGTTTCACATATAATAATGGCTATGCTATCGGGTATGTGTGCTTATCAATGTCCTTGCCCTCCTGCCCCAAAATGATGCTATTAGATAACTTCTTATAAGTTATGATTAATGATGTGAATCACTTGATAGATCTTGAAGTCAATACACTTGTATTTATTGTAGTTTTACTTACCTGTCTTGTCTTTGCTGATGTTTCAATAAAAGGAATTCCATAACTTCTTGCTAAGTCCTGAGCCTGTTTTGTGTCTACTGTTCTAGAAGGCAAATCACATTTATTTCCTACTAGGACCATAGGTACATCTTCAGAGTCTTTAACTCTTTTAATTTGTTCTCTGGGGAAGAAACAGAGTTGCAACAGAGGTGTTAATAAAACAAAAATTATTCAAAGCCAATTACAACTTTTGCTTTACAAAATCTGACTGGATGAGGATTTTTTACGTATAATTCCTAATGTCCATCCTACTGAATTTTTCTGGCTGCTGCTTCTTCTAGTTATATTTTCCTCCCGCTAAAACAGATACATTACATATCTCTTAAAAGATGAAACACCTGTGGAAGTAAAACTACAATCTCAAGGGTTCACATGCAGGTAGGTAACAATGATAGAATACAGAACCAGAAACTCAAAGTGCTGTGCTTGACTTAGCAACAGTCATCTTCGAGACATGTGTGCATGTGATTAAAAGTATTTTATCCAAACATGAATTAACACCATCGATGGATCTTTCAGATCTCAGTAGATCCCCCACCCATGGGACACATTCCAAGACCCCATGGATGCTTGAAACTGCAGATATATCAAACCCCGTGTGCACTGTTTTCTCCCACACATATCCATACATACCCACCACAAAGTCTAATTTATAAATTAGGCACAGCAAGAGATTTACTAATAGAACAATTACAACAATCTATTATAATAAAAGCTATGTAAAACTTAAGACTTGTTTGTTTCTGGATTTTCCCTTCAGTATTTTCAGACCACACTGAGAATAGGTGAACCCAAGCATCAGCAGGGGACGCCTACTTTCTCTGAAAAGAAGGCACCGATCAGGAAGATGTTGACCTCTGTATGAACGACACTGACGTGGTGACACTGGCCACTCTATTCAAAGTCCCTTGACATGGTACCAATTCCCAGTATTAAGACGTAACAGACTCTAAACTTGGGGGAAATCACATCATACAGGCATGGAACATGACAAAGAATCAATAAATGAATGCTACAATCCTTCTCTATCCCCATGTATTTACATTCAACTTAAACCCACCTATAATGGTGAATGTCTTCAAATGACTTAGTGTTATTTATGGCAAACACACAGAGAAAGCCCTCCCCAGTCCTCATGTACTGGTCCCTCATCGCACTGTACTCCTCTTGACCTGCTGTGTCGAGAATGTCCAAGAGACAGGTCTCTCCATCAATGACTACTTGTTTCCTGTAGGAGTCCTGAGAAGGGACAAACACAGTCTAGATTATTATGGTGCACCTTTTAAAGGTGTTACACACAACTAACCAACACATACAAGCAACCCCATTCAAAACCCACAAAGAACTTGACAGGATATTTCTCCAAAGACAGACAAATGGCCAGTGAGCACCTGAGAAGACCAGGTATCATTAGGAAAATGCAAACACAAACCATGAAGCACCACCTAGCAGTTGGTTCACAATTTTAGTATTTTAGTCCATTCACTGAATTAACTACTTCAAAGAACTGTAAGTTATAAGTATAGCATATTGCAGTCAACCCATTACATAGGTGTGGCTCAGGGCACAAAACTGTTCCTTACCTATTGCTATCACCTCCCATTCTTACAGCTAATAGTTCCCTTAGTCTTCAAATCTAAAATCTCCACAGCAATAAAGTTAAACACTATGGTTTCTGGAGCCACACAACCTATACAAGCCTACTTAATAAGTAAGGCACGGCTGTAGAATACACATGATGTCCTACTTACAAAATTTTCAAGTACTGTTACAAGTATGGAATGTGGAATGTTAGCAGTTTCTACACATATTTCATAAGATGTCATAAGGGAGTGTTCTTGGTATAATGGACCCAGGAACTGGACAGCAGTCTCTTTCCTTTCTCATCCCTTTCAGATTCTAGAAATACTGACAGCAGAATTCAGAGCTACATTGGGTTAGTTTGAAATACTCATCAACAGTGCTGCTGACTGGAAATAACAGGTTTAGGCAAAAGCATGGATCCTCCCAAAGTCCACTCTAACTGCACCCTTATCCTCACAAGTAACATCAGCACTAGACTCTGTAAAAGGCAGTGCGACTTAAGGAACATGACAGAGCCAAAGTCTACAAAAAGCAGAAAAGAGGAAAGCAAAATCGATCCATAAACACTACAGGCTTTGTTCCAACTTCAGGAGGTACAATAGGCTACCCATGAACCAGCACCTTCCAGGAGGAACTAGGTCTGAGAAAGGCTGCAACTGCCCCCAGGCCACATCTCACCTACTGATTGTGTAAGGCCCAACAGGTAAGGATGGTTCTTACATTTCTACATGGTTGTGAAACAAACAAAAGCAGAGATGATATGACAAGGACTCATTTGGCACTTTACAGAAATCTTTCACAAATGAAAAGTATTCTCAGCACCTACCATTTATTCCCTTCACACATAAGAACAATCACCATTCTGTGAAAGTATGCGTTATCAGCCCAATCAATCTAAAGTGCAGATTCTACAATGAAACTAGATATTGATGGAGCATTTTAAATTAGTATTATTGCCACAGTTTTAAATAAAATAAATTTTTAGATCAGGTACATATGTTACTAATATCCTTAGGAAACCAAAAAAAGGTCACTAAAGTCAATAAAATAATAGATGAAGAGAATAAGTTACTCAATGTATCTCCCTTGCTCCTAGCCAAAGTGCCATTTTTTTTTTTAATCTACTAAAGGTGTAAAACTTCTACATGAAATGTACTTTGTTTGCAAGAGTGAACTGAAGATGTAATGAACCATCTCTGGTGAGACAGTGAGCAGGCAAATTCTTCTAGAAAGCAGTTACAGTATTTATCAAAGCAATGCAATGTTCATAGCTTTGACACAATAATGGTAAATGATGCTACAGAAATACGCTTTACTTTTTTAAGTGACAGTTGTAATAGCAATATACTTAACACAGCACCCTAAAATATCTTAAAAAGGAAACTTACATGGGCACTGCATAAGACCCACAATCCTATACAGATCTTCAGGATATAGCTGCAATCCGGGCATCTAACACCCAATCCTACAGTTGTTCATGGCAACTACTTTGTCTAAGGCAATCTGCTGCTACTCTTTGACATATTATTACCTAACAGTAGGTGACTGTTCTTAGGTCGTGTCACTTGATTAAGTCCTCTAACACCACCCCCAATCTCAGCCTCCCAAGTAGTTAGAAGTCACTGACACCAGGCTTGACTTGCAAATTTTTTTTAAAAAAGTGTTTCCCCATTAAAGAACAGAAGCTCATCTGCTGACCCATGAGGAAGAATTTGAAAGCTAAGGCCAAATCAGTGAAGGGAAGATAAACTCATCTATCAGACCAACAGTTTGCCGTTTTCTTTGGTAACTTACAATATTATTAAGTTATTTGGCTTTTAACATACTCGACTTGGTTTTCCAACACAGACAGTAACCCTGATGTGGAAAGACATGCAAAAGTAAACAAAAGCACCTAAAGAAATATGGTATTGCTATCCATAGTATCTTACTCACTGAGCCCTCACTGATACGTCACAAGCACATCTCCCTTAAGGGCCACCTTCAAGCCCACAGTTCCTTCAGACGCTCTTGTTGATATGAACAAGACTGACAAAATGTTGGAAATGTCTTTGGAAACTGCTGGCACCTTTCTTACTGTGTTAAGTACTACAGTACTTTTTACTGCTTACTGACACCTTGAGGGAAAATGAGAACCTTAACTTTTACTTCCTAGTGCTGGAACAACTTTACATGACCCTTCTGAAAGATTACTTAAATCCACTAGAGAAGGATGTGTTCCACACCTGTGGTTATTAAGTCATCAAAGTTGTGTAGCCCATTCTCAGTGTCAACTAAAATCATGAACAACAGCCTGGCAGGTTAGACAATCACAGAAAAGATTTAGGAGCAAATAAGGAATTTGTCGTATAGAAGTAGGTGAATTCATTCCCACCCACCCACCTACCTCACTCTCTGCTACATCACAGGAATAGGTACTGAAAGCCTAAGTGTCACATCCTGTACTAAGCATTGTATGTTAAGCATCCTTAATCCAAAATCAGAAATGCTCTGAAAGAAAGAAATTTCCTTCTTTCCTATATTTTTATGTTTTGGTTTTGGGGTTTTTTTGGGGGGGGAGGGCGGGGAAGGGTATGGGGATACAGTCTGTCACTGTGTACCACAGACTGGCCTCAAATTCACAATTCTCCTGCCTCAGCTTCCTGAGCACTACAGTTATAGGTGTGTGCCACTATGCCCAGCTCAACGTGTATACAGTTTCTGAAGGACCTAGGTCTAGTTAAAGAGAAATGAATGTACACAAATAATTTAAGTAGGCTGAAATAAATGTTAACAATCTCAGGAGAGATCAACTTGCTCACATGAACTCAAAAAAAACACAGGTGGAAAAGCCCGTGCAGGCAGGAGCAAAGAAAACATGAAAAACATCCAAGTCTATGGGCAATGAAGCTCAGGATTAAATGTGATGGCCAGGAGTGAAAGAGGACAAGCAGCACAAGCTCACTGAGGGCTGTACACACAAGGAAGGAACTGTGATGCTCCTCCTAAACAATAATCGCCAAGGTTTCTACGTAACAAAGGAGAATCAGAGTCACCATGGTGAGTGTTAGCACCATTGTGACAAATTATGGGAAGAGAGAAGACATCTTGGCTGTCCCAGACCCTGCCTCACCACAGCACTTGATGGAGTGTGAGCTGAGCTCAATCAAGCTCCTCCCCTGGCTTCTACTGCTAATCACACCATGTTCCACGCCCCAGAGTCCTGGGGTAGAGACGCTTCTGAATCACTGCGCTGCTTAGAGTTCTCTTGCTGCTTTGTAGTCTTCTACTGCCTAGCTGCTATGCTAGCAGCCAGAATCGACCTCTAGATAAATACCACCAAAAGTGCAAATACATGGTCACATGGACACCTGCATGTGAACATTTATAGCAGCATCATTCAAAGCAGCCACAAAGAGGAAATAAGCCAAATGCCCATCAACTGACGAATGGATAAGTAAAATACAGGGTATCTACGATGGAGTATCATTCTGCCATAAAAAGGAATAAGGATGAACTTGAAAATATGAAAGCCAGACACAAAGGCCACACACTGCATGATGGCACTACCACAAAATATTCAGAATACACCACATACAGAGACAAGAAAGCAGGCAGTTGCTGCCAGGAGCTAGAGGGTGAAAGGACTGGGGAGTGACTGCTAAATAGTATGGGGCTTCCCCTTTAGAGTGATGAAAAGGTTCTGACATTAGATAGACCACCTGTTGTACAACTTTGTGAATATACTAAACACTGCTCAACTGTACACTTCAAAGGGTGACTTTTGTGCTACATGAGTACATCTCAATTTTTCGAGATGGGATCAGATTGGAAGTGCAGAGGAGAAGATGTGTACAATCTGAGTTCCCTCTGACGTGTGCTATCCTGCAGGAAGAATGATGAACACACAGACCTCGGTACTTACCCCAGCTAGAGACAGACCCAGAGTCTGTGATCGGTGGACAGCTGCAGAGCTCTACTCGCTGTGGTAGACTTGGACAATCCTTGCATCACACCTACTCCAAGCAAGCCAGTGTTTTTTCAACTGTAAAAATGGACTATGCAGCCAGGACTAGTATCCATGGATTAAAGACCCTGAAAAATCCCTTTATACAATGAAAAGTGCTATAAAAAAGTCACCTGTATTCTTTCATACATTACACTGTACATGCTGCCACAAGCCAAAAAAGTAGGGGATAGGCCACCGGCTCGTAGGAACTGTGCAGAAACAATATTGACTTCTTAAAAAGTCACTGGACATCCGCAGCTGGGGTAATTTTTTACAAAGCTAGTCACATGCTTCAAAACACAACGGAGCTGGCCAAGTTCCTGGGCCAGTTATGAGGATTTCTACTTTGATGAACAATGCCACGATAAACACTCCTGTGCACACTCTCACCAGCTATCAGCTAGGTCCACAGTACAACCTGTGAGAAGTACAATTACCTGGCCCAAGGACACAGCTTAAATTTGATACACAGTTTCCAAGTGGTAGCAGAAAGCTAGTGAAAGTTTGCTTCCACCACATTTCTCTCACCCAGCAGTTATGTATACTCCCTAATCTTAGCTACTATTAAAAGTATAAAACGGTACTTTTTGTTTGAACTTGTATTAAGCGTCTTTTTCTATGTTTAGGTCATTTGTTGTTGAGTTGGGGGTTTTTGCACATAGGGAGT